TAGATATAAGCCTCAAAATTTACCTATGCTTGTTTGACAGTTTAGATGGCTCGGGTCCGGTCACTGGTATCAGATTGTGAAGCCTTGCGAGAAAAGAATGAAGCCGTTGCCAAGGAGCTGGAAGCAACACGACAACTACTGCAAGAGAAAACTGCTACGATGGAAGCTGAGTGAGTTTTCCTGCTAGTTAGATTTATGAGATACCGTATTGTCTCATGATTTTTGTCCTATTTTCGACATTTTCGTGAGTTTGAATTTTCCCTCTTCTTACTGAACATCTAATGAGCAGTATAATCAACCACTGTTGTCAAAGACATACGATCATTTGCTAATAAAGCAAGCACGGGACAGTCTTATGAGAATTGTAGTCTCTAAGGTGCTCAACTGATGCCCGAGTTTTTTGGTTAATCCTTTATGACGGGACGTTGGCTTTTGTTCTTGCTGAAAAACCAACTTCTAACAGCTGCACCTTGCTTTCCGTTCTTTCTTGTACTCTTACCACTTCCTGGTAAACGGCCTACCGGAATTTTTTTTTCGAGGGACGTTTTCCGTGATTCGTCTTTTCATCCTACATTCCCCCTTTTTCTCTCTGGCTTCATTTTTTTCACAGCTACTGTGGTAGGTACCCCAAGGTACACATTCCTTCGATATTATTTAAGGTTCATTGTCTCAGTCTCTCCCATTCTCTTCGTGACTTCTACATTTTTTTGTTGAGAATATTGATCTGATTAAACTGCACTAGTACTCCTGAAGTGTTCAGACTTGCAAGAGTGGTACAAGAACGTGATGATCTGGCGTCTGAGATCAGTCAAGAACGGGAAGTTGTTAGTGAGTGCAAATAAGCTTGCTGATGATCTCAAGAAGAAGCTGGAGATGTGAGTAAAGTTGAATGAATTACAGAAGACTTGCATTCATATTGTTATGTCGCCATTTCTATCTAGTTGTTGGGAATTTCATAATACTTCTGGGACAAATTTGTAAGCTGATTCGGTTAAGTAGAGAATTAGGCTACTTTACAACTTGAGCCATTTAGTCGCACGGTTTGGGACATGGTCTGAGACCCACCGCGCTCCACCAGTACTCGCTGGATGCGTGAATATTATAATTCAATCTCATCCAGAGTAAAACTACTTTCGACTGTTGTGGCAATCAAATGATTAGCGGTGAGGCGCGTCGAAGCATTAATGCAGTCGCGCCTTTTGCGAATTACTGGATGAATCGAACTGGGATGTGAACTAGGTTTTTTGCTTGTTTTTGCCTTGGCGCTGTTGCCCGATGTTTCCAGTGGAGAAACTTGTCATTTTCATGGAGTTCTTTTGTACGTTAGCGGAGGTGGTGCGCTCTTGGGTGGCCCAATTGTCGTGCGCGCAGTTGGGGGTCAAATTCCGGATCTGCTCTAGCCCAGGCCAACTGAGCCTTCTGCCTTCCATAGCCATTAAATTGGCACCAAGGCTGTCCGGGGAGGAGGTGGGGGTGGATAAAAACGCTGAGTTTCAATAAGTTAGTCTCCGCATGTTATTGTGTAGGCCAATATTGCATACAATATAATACAACATAAAGCAGAGCCACTATGACTCTGAATGGAGGTAGAATGCGTGTCGCATCCTCAAAGGAGCTATTAAAGGCAGTTGGCACGATAAATCCCCCAAGGCGACTAGGATCAATACTCCTGGCAGGATAGAATTCCGCGACCCTGGGCAGGCGCGCGGTTTCCCCGAGGAAGGTGCCCTTATAAGGGCCCTATCAAGCCACAACTTTACGTCCCAAACGCCCGCCACGCCCGCCCGCCCACAAATGGACGACCGTTCCTGACGCTCGTATTCATTCATTTGCTAAGCAAATTATGAAGCGAAGGAATTGGTACGGAGCGGTCGTGATGCTGCATACATGCATGGGTGCACATATGCAGTCGTATCTTCGGTAGCGGT